CCTTTCCACATGATAAAAAAAAAAAGAAAGAAAAGTGAAATATTTCGCTTTTTTTTTTTTTTTAAACTCTCATAAAACCAATAAAAATTCATTGGTTTGGCTTTTTTGTTCTTTTTTTTTTTTACTTTCTTTAAAGCAACTAAATTATTTATTGAAATAATAACTTTCTTATATGTTAAAGCATACAAATTATTGATTATTTTTTAATTGATTAGTTACAGTTATGCCGAATAATTGACAAAAAATACATGAACTAATGCAGCTAAATCATTTTATTTTTATTTTTATTTTTTGTTGATAAATAAATAATATTAAGAAATTCTCTTGTTTAACAAATTAATAATAGTAACTACTAATTAGTTAGATTAACAACAATAATTACTCATTAATTACATTTATAATAGTAATTACTGATTGATTAAAAGAAATCCCTTATTAGCATGTAAATAATATTAATGAAAATCCCTTATTTAATAAATGAAATATGTCATTTTTTGTTTTTATTTTCAAAATCGATTAAATAAAATTGTTGAATAAACCAAAAATTTTCCACCTGATGAAACTATTTCTCCTTCACAACAGTGTAAGAAAAAAAAAAGAATGTAATGATTGAAATAAAAAAAAAAAAAAAAAACGACGTTTAAAACAGGTTTGAGAAAAGATCAACTTCACAAACTGATTATCAAAAATCAAAATAAAAAAAAACTTCACAAACTTCACGAACTGATTGTCAGAAAAAAATCAGTTAATCAATTAGTTCAAAAGTATTGAATCTTAAATTTAATAAATAACTTAACAAACTTAGCAAAGCCAACGTCTTGAATTTCGATTGCATATTTTATATGAATATTTTTCGGTTACTTATTTTTTGAAAACTTTTTGAAATTAATTAATCGATTATATTTGTTTACATTATTTGTGCTTAAATAATAAATATTTACTTTTATTTGACTAATTCTATATTATATTACACAAATAATTTCATTAAAATTTAGACAAACTTCCAATTATAAAATTTGGGTAAAAATTATATTATTAAATGTTTGATACAAGAACAAAAAATTTGAAAATTACTTTGAAAACTGTAACAATGAAAAAAAAAGATGAATTAACAATAGTAATAATAATGATGATAAAGAATGAATTAATAATAATGGTAATAATAATGGTAATAAC